GACACACAGACGCTTGCCTAAAAAATGATAAATGGTGTAGCTAGGGATGGAGTGCTGCCTGGAACGCCCAGTGAGGGCTGGGGGCGTGGTCAGGGTGGAGCCCCGCCCAGAATCCCCAGGGAGGGGCTGGGGCGTGGTCAGGGTGGAGCCCCGCCCAGAATCCCCCAGTGAGGGCTGGGGGCGTGGTCAGGGTGGAGCCCCGCCCAGAATCTGGAGAGGGGGCTGGGGGCGTGGTCAGGGTGGAGCCCCGCCTAGAATCCCCAGTGAGGGGCTGGGGGCGTGGTCAGGGTGGAGCCCCGCCTAGAATCCCCCAGTGAGGGGCTGTGGGCGTGGTCAGGGTGGAGCCCCGCCCAGAATCCCCAGTGAGGGCTGGGGGCGTGGTCAGGGTGGAGCCCCGCCCAGAATCCCCAGTGAGGTTCTGGGGGCGTGGTCAGGTGGAGCCCCGCTTAGAATCCCCCAGTGAGGGCTGGGGGCGTGGTCAGGGTGGATCTCAGCTTTGAGCTCCATCCCCCATTCCCTTCCACCAATAAGCAGACAGCACCCTAAAATAAAGAAGAAACGTCAGGGAAAGTTCTTTAAAAGGCAGGCAGAGCATGAAAGGAATGTTCAGGGGTCACGGAGTCAGGCTGGTGTCTGAAGTCAGCTCTCACATCACGGAGACATGTGTTCCTCCCCCAGGAGAGTTGGGCCTCCCGCCCCATGCGTCCTTGCCTTCCCCTGTGGTTTTCCCTGCAAACACTGTCGTCAGAAGGTGACTTGTCCTAGGTGTCCAGTGTCAGTGTGTTCTGTGATGACCTGGATCCAGAGGTGTCCACCAGGGGTCCCGGGGCGGACCCAGAGGAAGGGCCCAGACCTTCAGGACCATCCAGGTTCAGGGATACCAGAGCCTAAGAACAAGGTCGGATGGAGACAGACAGACTGACAGACAGGGCACAGGGGCCGCTGACAATGACCCAGGCACCCCACTTGTACTTTAGCTCAGGAAGGCGCTTGTCTGACTCCGTCCCAGAATTTAGAATGAACTGCAGTGTTAGGATTATGTCTGTGGGGCGTGCGGCAGACCCGAGTGGATGGGGTGCTCAGGAAGCCCGGGCCCCAGCCCTAGCAAGGCGACTGTGCCGCCTCAGCACTCAGGAGCTGGAGGCAGGAGCATCAGGAGTTCAAGGCCATCCTTAGCTGCACAGCCTGGGCTCTGTGAGAGTGCCTTTATCTATCTATCTATCTATCTATCTATCTATCTATCTATCTATCTATCTATTTATTTTGTTCTTTTCGAGACAGGATTTCTCTGTGTAGCCCCGGCTGTCCTGGATCTCACTCTGTAGACCCAGGGGAACTCAAACTCACGGAGATCTGCCTGCCTCTGCCTCCCAGTGCTGGGATTATTCAAGGTGGGCACCACCACATGGGCAGAATGGACAAATGTGTCTAATGCCCACACCACTATGCATCAGGCCATTGAGTTCACAACCCTTCTGTGTCATCTGCTAGCTGTCTGTGACACCCCTGAGGGGCCAATGAACCACCATCAGGCCGCCTTCACAGGAAGGAGCACGTCACAAGCAAGTCCCTAAGGGCAGGTGTTCAAAGATCGCCACCTTGGAGAGCGGCCTCACAGCCCAGCTTTTGGCTGCAGAGAACAGAACACTGGCCAGACTTGCCCAGAACAGTAAAGACATTTATTAGCCGTCGGGACAAAAGGCCCCAAGTGGTCCTGGCCTGCAGGCAAGGTGTGATCCAGCCTGTTCAGACCTGTTCAAATGGGTTACCCTGGGGCTGGGATTTCTTCCTATCTGGGTAGGGGTGGGGGTGAAGGCAGGTGCCCGCCTGTTTCTGGATAAAATGTCATGAGACTCAGGACTGAGCCTATCAGCCGAGGTTGATGTTGATCCACTCATCTCTTTCCTCCTCCCCCTCCCTTTTCTCCTCCTGTTTTTTTTTTTTTTTTGGTTTTTTTTGTTTTGTTTTGTTTGTTTTTCGAGACAGGGTTTCTCTGTGTAGCTTTGCGCCTTTCCTGGAACTCACTTGGTAGCCCAGGCTGGCCTCGAACTCACAAAGATCCGCCTGCTGGGATCAAAGGCGTGCACCACCACCGCCCGGCTCCTCCTCCTGTTTTTTAATGTTATTTATTTATTTTTAAAATTTTAAGACTGAGGCAGGGTCTCTCTAAGCAGCCTACTTCACCTCTGAACTTGTGATCCTCCTGCCTCAGCCTCCTGAGTGCTAGGATGATGGGTGTTGCCCGCCATGCCCAGATATGGAGGAATCTTTGGCAGACACTTCCAGGGGCCATCCCAGACAGACCTTCACATCTGGAGCAGGGGATCCCAGTTCCCCCTGCTGAGAAACAGACACCGGATTGCATTCCCAGGCTGAGACAATGGGGGTGACCGTAAGACGAACTGCTTATAAATAGAAACCTGGAGCCAGATACTGGGGTGCAAACTGAGAGATCAGAGATGTAAACAAGCCACAGGCACAGATTCTTACCGCTAGGAAATCCTCGACCCAAGAGAGTGAGTTCCTGTTGTCTCAGACTGAAAGCCAGATGTGTGACAGCTGAACTGCCTAAAAAGCCTCCAGTCGCTGGTCCTCACGCCTTGCGTCCCTTTCTGCTTCCCGCCATCACTTCCTGGGATTAACGGAGAGTGTGCTTCCCTAGCAAAGGCAGGAGACCTCAAGTGCTGGCATGAAAGGTGTGAGTCACCACTGCCTGGCTCTGTTTCCAGTGTGGCCTTGAACTCACAGAGATCCAGACGGCTCTCTACGTCCCCGAGCGATAGAATTAAGGGTGTGCGCCACCACTGTCTGGCCTCTATGTCTAGTCTAGTGGCTGGCTGTTTCTGATGTCCAGGTCAGTTTATTAGGGTGCACAATATATCGGGGGACACAATCTATCACCACAGTGGTCCACACAGGGACTGGCCAGGGTGCCCATCTTCAAAGTCCATGGGAACTCCGTCCGCCTGAGCCTGCTGAGGACCGGGCAGGGGCTCCTGCCGGCTTCCTCGGGGAGCTGTGCCCCAGCCTGCTCTTGGAGGCACGGTGCTCCATGCTCGTGCCTGTGGGGGAACCGCCACTTTATGTCCCCACCGGCCCCCACTGGAGGCAGCTAATGCACATCTATTGACGTTTGTTCTGTCTCCCTTGTTTTACAGACAAGGTCTCTTTGATGCGGTCCTAACTGGCTTGGAACTCTCTGCAGCCCAGGCTGTCCTGGAACCACAGAGATCCCCCTGCCTCTGCCTCTCCAGTGCTGGGATTAAAGCGTGCGCCGCCAACCTCCGTGAGTTTTGACTCTATGTACACTCCTACCGCCCCCAGCTGCTTTCCCTGGCCTCAGTTTCCCTTTCTAGGCTGTGAAGCCCGCTCCATCGGGCAGGCACGCTCACTGGCTCTGGGGTTTAGGGATCGGGGTCTGCATGGGAGCCCGGGAACATGGGAACCGGACTTACAGCCTGGCGGGTGTTGCCCTCACAGGGGCCCGGGCTTCACAGTCGGGGTCTGGGAGGCTCTGGGCACCGTGGGAGCAGGGCCCGGGGTCCCTTACGCTCCACCCAGCTGCCCCTCCCGTCTCCCAGGCCCCAGCCCCCCTCCCTCCCTCCCTAACCCCCTCCCCGTCACCGCACCGGCTGCCCCGTCCCTCCCTCCCCCTGCTCTTCCCACCTCACCCCACTACTTTCCCTCATCTCCCTTTCTGGGATCGCAGTCAGTTCTGGGCACGAGCTGGGTCGTCCAGGCTCCGGGGCTCAGCAGCCCGTGTGGGGGGGGGACCGAGGCTCAGAGCAGGGGCCCTGGGCCTCCTCACCCTCAGCTCCCCTACCCCAGCTTCCCCACGCACCCCTTCATCACCCCCCTTCCCTCCACCCCTTCCCTGACAGACCCACTTCCCCGCGGCCCCGCCCCTCCCGTAACCCCGCCCCCTCGCCTGGCTTGCTCATACAAACCCCGCCCCTCCGCCTCTTCCCCCCTCCTCCCTGCCTTCTTCCCTCCACCCCTTCCTCCCCCCTCCACCAGCCCCTCCCCACCTGTCCACTACCCCCGAGGCCCCTCCCTTCCTCCCTTTCCCTCCGTGCCTCCTCCGGCTTCCTCCCCCGGCTCCTTCCCTCTTCCTGACCCTTCCCCTCCCCTCTGCACTCACCTGGTCCCTCCCTCCCGCTCTCCCTCCATTTCTCCTCTGCAGACCCCCTGCCCTGCCTCTCCCCCCTGCCCCTCCCTCCCTTCTGCCCCTCCCCCCTCCCGCTCTTCCTGCCTCTGCTCTGTCTGCCTTTCTTCACCTCTGCACGCCTCTCCTGCCTCCCCTTCCCACCCCTGCCCTTGCTCCAATCCGGGGCCTGCACCTCCATAGCCTCGCCCTCCTCCCCTCCTCCCGTCTGTGCTCCTCCCTGTATTACCTCACCCTCTCATCCAGCCCCTCCCGCGTCCTCTTCTCCGCCCTGGGATCCATCCCTCCCCGCCCCCTCCCTCCCCTCCTCCCTTCCCTCCTCTCTGGCGTCTCCATCGCTTCCCCACCCTCCTCCCCGGCCCCCGCTGCATGCCCCACCCCTTCCTAGCCTCGCCCTTTCTCCCTCCTCTCTGCCCGCCCGTCCGCTTCTCCCTCTCCCCCTCCTCCCTTGGCTCCTCTCAGGCCCCGCCTCCCCGGAGCCCCGCCCCCCGGCCCTCTCCTCCCCTCGCTCCTCTCAGGCCCCGCCTCCCCGGAGCCCCGCCCCCCGGCCCT